AGACAAAGGATAAGTTCATGGGGAAAAGCAACACAGATGGAACATAGTGTAACCCAGCGTGATGGTACTTACCTGTAATCTCAGAGACTCAGGAGGCTGAGGCAGGAGGATCTCAGGTTTGAGGTCAGCAAGTTTGAGGTCAGCCTCAGCAACTTAGTGAGGACCCATAACTGTCTCTGAAGGAAGAGAGACCTCATTTTAAGTGAGGTCTCAAAATTTCAAAGGGACTGGGATGTGGCTCAGTGGTTAAGCCTGGGTTGAGCCCTGGGTTCAATCCCCCATACCTCCCACCCCCAACAAAGAAACAAAAAATAGCATAATGGTTAATTTTATGGGTTAACTGGGCAAAGGGATGCCCAAATGGCTGATAAACGATTATTTCTGGTGTGTCTGTGAAGGTGTTTCTGGAAGAGACTGGCATTTTAATCAGTTGGCTGAGTAAAGAAGATTGCCCTCACCCAGTCTCTTGAGGGGCCCAAATAGGACCATGGAGAAAGCAGGGCAAATTTGTTTTCTTATCTGGGACAGCATCTTTCCCTGCACTCAGACAGACACCAGTGCTGTACTCAGACCTTCATATCAGACAGGCACTCACACCCCTGGCCTTGGATCCTGGACGGGACCTGGTTCCCTGGCTTTCCTGGGCCTTCAACTGCAGACAGCAGACTGTAGGACTCGCCAGGCTCCACAGTCTCACAATCCTTCATAACAGATCTCTCTCTGTCTACACATCATACTTGCTCTCTGTGTCCAGAGAACCTACTGCTGTGCGTAGCAGAAAGAGTGCTGAGTTTTTTCATGACAAGGAGAAAACTTGCTAATCATAAGTATCTCATTTCCACCCACCTCGTCCTCACAGTTCCTCCTCCTGGGTAATATGCAGTTTGATTGGGGACGTGGGTAAACAGATATTCATGTATACTGAGAGCAAAAGTGTAATTGATACAGTCTTTTTGGAAGACAATTTATCAGTGAGTTTTGTTGTTTTGTTTTGTTTGTTTTTATACTGGGGATTGAACCCAGGGGCGCTTTCACCCCCAAGCAACTTCCCCAGCCCTTTTTATATTTTAGTTTGAGACAGGGTCTCGCTGAGTTGCTTAGAGCCTCACTAAGTTGCTGAGGCTGGTTTTGAACTCATGCTCCTCCTGCCCCAGCCTCCCAGCCTCTGGGATTACAGGAATTGTCAGTGAGTTTTAACAATCTAAATGCAAATTTCTTTTCATCGCTAATTCTACTAGTAGGAATATGCTCTAAGAACAAGCATGCAAAAGTATACCAAAACTTGTAAACAGTAGTGTTTCTAGTAGGAAGACAGACAGCCCCAGAATGGAAATGAAGTACATTTTGTGTGTTTGGTTTGCTTTTGTTTGGGGGGTTTAGTTTGTTTGTTTGTTTGTTTGTATAGTTTAATTTTTACCCTGTACACCCATTGCTTTTATTGTAAATCTCAGTGGTAGAGGATGAGGGAATCAGTAATAAAGCAATGAAAGGAACCCTGTTTGTGGTTGAGTGTAAATTCATCTTTGAGCTTCCCCATAGCCCAGGCAAAGAGGGAACCTTGATAATCAGATACAAAAAAAAAAAAAAATCATCAGAAGAGAGAAACATTTTCCTGATGTTGATCTCAAAAAGGACTGTAGCTGCTAAGGAGATTGGTCTAAAGGCCATCTGATCTTGTCCCTCCCGGGCCAGCAGAAAATGCACTGAGGGGTCCTTACCACCTTCCCCGTGATCCAGATTGTGCCCACCTCCTGTCCTCCCGTGTCTCCCGTGTGTGTGTGTGTGTGTGACACTCAGGCCAGTGATGGCCTTTGTGGGGATCACTCCTTCTGCTCCACCTGGTTCTTGGCTGCGGCTTCTTTTGTTTCCCCCAGTGGGGGTCCTCCTAGGGCCTATGGCCCTCCTCTGTGCTCCCACAAGCCCCCGGGGCCTACTTCAATGATGGAACTTGTCCCCCGGGGCCTACTTCAATGATGGAACTTGTCACACAGCACTAAATTGTTTTGTTCTCTCCACTACACAAGGTTAGGGGTACCTGTTGTTTGGGCCCTAGCACCCATCTCCTAGGCACAGAAGCAACTGTCAGTGAGCGCGTCTGTGGAATCGAGCCCATCTCTTCCACCAGTTGGCCGAGTGGACAAGCCACCTCACTCTGGGCCTCCGTTTCTCCATCCATACAATGAAAACAATGGCTCAGATAAATCTCCGAGAACTCTGGCTCTTTCTTTTCCCCTCTGTGGTTGACAGGTTGTTTCCCTCTCTGTCTCTCTCTCTGTCACACACACACACACACTCACACACACACACACGCACACACACTCACACACACTCTCGCACGGAGGTTGTTACCAGCTGTCATGCTAAGTAATTCCAAAGTTTCAGAACTGAGCTTGTTAGAATCCCTGCTTCATTATGGCCTGCCTCACACCTGTTCACAGCCCCAGGGTGCGGAGCCCGCCCAGCTGCCTTGGACCAGGACTGCAGAACTGGTGACCCGTCTTCTGGGGGTGCCTAGAGGTCAGAGGGCTTTCTGACGGCCTCCAGCGACCTCCCCTCTTACCCTCCTTCTCAGGCTGATCTGGAACTCCCTGGCCTGCTGTCCTCCCCCGTGTTCCTGGTGCTCCTTGCCTTCCTGTTGGGGTGGGTCCTGTCCCCTCCACTTCCCATCTTACCCCTGCTCCCCTGAGGTCAGTTTCAGCAGCTGAGGTCACACCCCGAAGTCCCAGCTTTTCAGAGAGTTGAAAGAAAGATGCTAGAGGTGAATCTGGGATCTTTTTTTAAATATATACTTTCATTTTATTTATTTATTTATTTTTATGCGGTGCTAAGGATCAGACCCAGTGCCTTGCCCGTGCTAGACAAGTGCTCTACCTCTGAGCCACCACCCCAGCCCCGAACCAGGGGTTTTGAGAAGGTATATAATACCTCTGTGCAAAGTATATTTTAAGAAAAACATTGTATTTTTAATACTTAAAAAATTGAATCTATCAATTAAAAATTGAAACTGACAGCTCCTCAGGAAAAAGCCACCCCGTTACTCTCAAATGCAAATACCCTTGAAGGATCATTTTTTACTGAAGGTTCTGAGAACATACTAGTAAAACAATCCTGAATTTAGGATAGATACTGTATGCAGAAGCGGGGAAGCCATTTGGAAGATATCCAGAAGTCAAGAGTAGTCAGTCTGGCCCTGCTACCGAAAATTTACATTGAGAGCCTGCTTTCCTACCATTCATTCAGCGGGTTTTTTCTCAGCTCCTGCGAGGTGCCAGACATTGTTTTAGAACTGTGGATGTAGCAGTAAACAAAGCAGGCTGAGACCCCTCCTGTGTGGAACTTGCCTTCTAATTGAAGGGAGGTGGTGAGCAGGGTGAGGCAGTAAGTACACACCTTGAGAAGGTGAGGCAGGCTGGAAAGTAAAGCAGGTGAGGCTGAAGGGCCGCCAGTGCTGGGCAGAGCCTCGTGAGACAGGTGGGCCTAAGACAGGTGGTCGAGGAGTGGGCCCAGAGGGTGGGGGGCCTTCCAGGCAGAGAAGACAGCAGCCTGCTGGGGTTCACCCAGATTTGACTGGGTTTTAACTGAAGACTCATTCCGGCTGCTCTGGCGATGGGGCCAAAGGGGGCAAGGGCGGAAGGCGAGAGACTCTCTAGGAGGCTCCTGACCATCCCGAGAGCAAGAGATGAGGGGCTGGGGGTCAGAGTAGCAGCGGCAGCGATGGCGAACGAGCTGGAATTCTGGGTATAATCTGCCAAGGTTTCTCCCTCAAGGACATGACCGTGTGGGGCTTGGGCAGTGGGAGAGCCTGGTTGCCACTAACTGGAGGGAGAAGACAGGGGAGCAGGTTCATGGGGAACTAGCTTTGGGACCGTAAGTGGAAGGACCTGCTCGATGGCCAGGGGGAGCGAGTGAGGGGTCAGAGGCCAGCCTGACCCCCAGGGCCCCGCCTGACCTCCAGGCTCCCTGTGGGACCAGATGAGATCACCAGGAGGCGAAGAGAGACACTGAGGCCCAGGGAACTCCAGTGCTCAGAGGCTGGGGAACCAGGAGGCAGGGAGGCTTATGGTGCAAGTGTGGAAAAGCCACAGGAGTGCAGAGTGACACCCCCGCAGCTGGGGAGGTGGGAGCGTTCCTCGGGCCTCCCTTGATGGTCGAGAGGCTCTCGGGGAGCGCAGGGAGCTTGGGCACATGAGGATGCTCTTCAGTCTTCAGTAGAATCTGTTGTTGCACTCTGAGTGTTTATTTCAAAACAAACTGCACCATTTCTCCTTGAGTAGACTCCTTTTCAAGGTCACTATTGAAGGATTTTTTAAAATTCTTTTTAAAGAAGGGGTCTCTGCGTGACTGAAGCCTACACTATCCCCTTCAAGGGCCCCTTTTCTCTGGGTAGAAAAGCGTTTCATGAGGGAGCCACCGGGCTGCGTGGACTCGCTGGGTACTGGGGTGGGGGGCACTGGCTCGAGGCCCTCACAGCCCAGCCACCTCACGCGGGAAGTGGGGGTTTTAGCTGCGTCAGAATGCAGGTGGTCATATGGGGACCCTGTCGTATTTCTTATTTAATTGGGGGGGCATTTACTCGGGAAAGGGATAAGGAAATTTGAGAATTCTGTGGAACATTTCTTATTCGTGGTTTGCTCGTGTCATGGCTGGTATTCATATCCTGTTCACAGGTTATTTCTGTAAGTGGGGGATTAGTTTAAGGTTCTGTTGTGGACAATAAAAATCAATTAATTCCAGGCAGGGTTGAGATTCTTTCTGAGCTTTGATTCACTTGTGAAGTCGTCCTTGAGGATGTCATCCCTCTTGACGATGTGTCTTGTGCGGGGAGTGCAGATCAGCTCAGTTTTCCAACGACACAGTCGAGGTTCTTGTCTTATTAATCAATAGCAGCAGTCAGAGAAGGCCCACTTATTCCTCCTTCAATAGAACCAGGCCAGGCTTGAAGAGAGGTGATAATCACTGCTCTGATCTCAGCATGTTCTCTTTTCTCCTTCCCAACCCAGAGCATGTCTGTTCGATCCTGGCTTCCCTCCTGCGCAACCTGAGAGGGCAGCAGCGGACCCGGCTTCTGAACAAATTCACCGAGAACGACAGTGAGAAGGTGAGTGACTGGGACTGTGAGGGTGGCAGAGCACTGGCCTGGGCGGAGGGCTCCCCACCTAACGTGGCCCCTTCCATGGGTCACCTTTCTTGTGTCCCAAAGCACTCCTGAGGGAGGGGTGGTAACCTGAGAGTGGGAGCAGGGAGTGAGTTTGGGTTGGGGCGGGGCGGGGCGGGGCGTGGGCTTTGGTTCAGAGGCCTGGAGTTGAGCCTGGCTTTTCTGCTTTCGAGATCTGAGCCACTCTGAACCTCACTTCCCCTGGCTTTAAAATGGAGCCCGTGGTTCCCGTCTGAAGAGTCAGTGGGAGGTGAACTAGATGAAAACAGGGTCTTGACAAGGGCCCGCCCTGGTGGGCTGTAGAAGCTGGCAGTGATCACTCCATCAGACGTGCTTAGGTGGATGTTCTATGTTGTTGTCACTCCTGCGAAACCTAGAGATCCTAACCACCCCGTGAGCTGCTGTTTGTGGAGTGCCGCTGCAGAGAAGGTAGCCGAGTCTACATTCCTGCATCGGGCAATGCTCTATTCATCCTGGATGGACGTGCACATTTTTAGGTAGGGAAGTTGAAGCTTAGAGACATCATATGACTTGCCCGAGATCACACCACTGAATAGTAGATCTGGGACTTGAACCCAGGCTCCTGAGTGCAAAAAGCCTGCGTATTTTATCGCTCTGTATGTAAGAAGGCAATTCCAGGTGAGTAAAGGATCAAAGGCCCCCTTTAACATGCAGTCGCTTTCCTGCCACAGTAAGGCTGAAACGTTTTCCTCCCTGGGAGAGGGGTCTAGGACTGTCTCTTTGAGCCCACCCCTGGCCATTTTGCTGCCCTTACTAGCATGGCAAAAAAACCATTGGTTTAGAACAAAGAACATTTTAACAGTCACGTGCGTTGTGACATTTAACATCTGTGCTCCTGTTTCCTCACCTTTAAAATGAGGGTTGCTCTTCAACTCTTCTGCTACCTTATGAAGTTTTTTAATGGTTTTAGAAAATAATGGATGTGGAAATACTCTGTAAACTGAAGTACACAAAGTCTTCAGGTCATCATTGTTAGCTGCGGAGCGTTTGGGCACCGTCTCCCTGGACAATCTGAGGCCATATTGGAGAACATCTCCAATTGACCAATATCAGCCCCTCCGAAAATAAATGCCAGGTTGTCAGGAGCTGTGGTGACAGATCAGAAGTCTGGGCTGCCTCGCTGCACCCCTTCAGTTGTTTGGAAGTCTTGGGGGAAAATGAAACTTCTTCAAACCCAGGGAGTATTCCTTAGGTCATGCTTGAAGCATGACTTTGCTCAGCCTAAAACTGATTTTTAGGTTATTCCTTTGCCAAAGTCAGGGCCTGTTTTCAAGTTGCTGAAGAAGTTTTTCTAGCACTGACTCAAAAACAACTAAGGAGATTTTACTCAGACATTTTTTTTTTTTTTTTTTTTAAGATCAGCTCTGGGGCAGAATCTGAACATGAAAGGTTTCAGTTTGAAAAAAGGAATTTCTGTAAAGTTCTAAGTGAATATCAAGTATATAACTTCAAGCGCCTTCTCTTTGCAAGAAGAGACATGAATTTTTACTTATTTATTTGTTGTTAACAACTCGACCACCTGGGAGTCCTGGTGGGGGGCTGGGAGAGCGCAGTCTCCTTCGGGGAGTGGCCCCGTGTGGCTTTGTTCCCCTGGCTCTTCCTCATTCTGCCGGCTCCCTAAGCAGAGCTCGTCTCCATGTCAGAAGTGGCAGCGTGGCCCCCATGCAAGCGGTGGCGCAGGATGAGAGGAGCCCCACCGTCCTCTCACCATGGTGTTCGCTTTCCTTCCACTCCTGCCTGTGAATCTCTCTTTCAGGTTGACAGACTAATGGAGCTGCATTTTAAATATCTGGGTGCAATGCAGGTGGCTGACAAGAAGATTGAAGGAGAAAAACATGTACGTATCCCGCCTGCCTTGGCCAGCTATTGACCAACCCTCCGTTCGGTCCCTGTGTACCTCCCCTGTCTGCCGTGTGCCACGTGAGGTGTTGTAAGAGCAAAGCAGAGGACAGTCTGCCAGCGGGTAGAACTACTGTCCCAACAGAGAGACAAGCTTTCAGGTCTGCCCTGGACTCGGGAGGGTAACACAAGCACCCTAGACAGGAGCTTCTCTCAGAAAGTCTGGCTGGAGCAGAGCTGAGTCTGAGCGCCGTTGGCAGAGTTGTCTTGGTGCCCGGGCTTGCCAGCCACCGTGACCTGGAGGGAGGCAGTCTCAGGAAGGGAGGTCTCAGGAGGTGATCCCGGACTGGAGAGTGGGAAGGGAGCCGAGAGCTTACCCAATCCAGTCCCCCTTTTACAGATGGAAAACCGAAGAGCTAGGGAAGGGGGTCCCAGGTGCACCGCAGCCGAGCCCAACCCCGGGGTCAGCACGACCTGGTTTTCTTTCCCCAGTGCTCGCAGAGGAAGTGACACCGCCAGGTTGTTTCTGGAGGGGCTGTTCTTCATGTGACTTTCCTGCCTTCTGCATTTTCCACCAGCTTCCATTCCATCCCCTGCCATCTCTGGCCTCTGCACTTCTTAATCAGGCCAAGTTTTCATGTCTGCTGTGCAGTGCCCAATTTGCATGCTGTCCCCAACAAGACACCCCTCAGTCTTTGGTCACATTACAACATGATCCCTTTCTTGCTTTTTTCCCAGCCTGTAGGAGACCTTGTTTTCTTGTGATCTTTATTCCCAGGAGTGCCCCGTTCTTTTCCCAATGTTCTCGCCTTAAAAACACATTTGAGGCTTTTGAGCCTCCTGGTCGGAGAGCCCCTTTCAGCATCGCCGTCCCCAGCTGTGCAGATGCCCCTGTGCCCTGGGCGTTGTGCTGACACCTACTCCCCCCCAGCTGTGTGCAGGCCAGGGTGCCAGACTACAGCTGGGGAGGCACCTGCCTCCCCCCAGCCGCCCCCCCACCCCGTTTCACTTGATGAAGACCAGTAGACAGCAACTGTGTTTCCGTGCTGGTGATTTCCCTGTGATCTCTAAACCTAGTAAGTGCTCAGATGTTTGCTGATTGATTGGATTGATCGGCTGGGACTTTCTTCTTTTACACAGTGAGACCACTGCAAGATAAAAGGCAGAGTCTCTAAAGCCTGAGCTGGACTTGAGAGACCAGCATGTTCCACACACGGCTCTTTAATTCCACACCCCCACCCTCTTTGTTTTGTTCTTTGATTACCTTTCCTTTGCCATCTTTTCTTCCCTGTCCAGTAACTCGTCTATCCAGGGCACCAAGCAACTGTAGAAATGCCAGAGTAGGATGTCCTTTCTCTTTGTTCAAACAATAATCAGGAACAAATTTAAATTCCCCTGGACTTGTACAAGGAAATAGCCACCAGACCACTGGAACTCCAGCCCTGACAGGATCCATGATGGAATCTGTAGGAGCAGAATTTGAGAGGCCTGAGGAGGAGCACCTGGGAGGAAGGTGACTCCATCTTGAAGTCACTGCCAGTCACAGCTGTCACTCTGCATTGTCACACGGCCTCGGTTTCTTAGCTATGAAGTGATACTAGCCAAAGGCTCTTAGGTCCCCTCAGGCTTGATCTTTTCCTTAGATTCAGTTGAACATCCTTTAACAGTGGTTTGAGAAACACAGTGAGGAGTGGTGAGTGACTGGGCGGTAGCAACCGTGAGGGCAGCACACTCAGGAGTCAGAGAGCCCAGGGCTTAGGGCCAGCTCTGCCACTGCCTCATGCAGAGCTCTTGGCCAGGTGAGCTGGCCTCTGCCAGCTTTGGTTTTCCTGTCTGTTAAATGGGGATAACAACTTCCTTGCCATTATTGTGAGGGCTAGATGTGAAGTATATAAGACACCTGACTCAATAAGTAGAGGCTGCTGATCCTGGTAGATTTTCTAGCTTCCATTGCAATTCTTGTATAGCCTTCTAAGTAAGCCAGGCCTTCCTCTCCCCAAGCACATCCCCCTTATCAGACGTCCCAGAAGGAGCCGCCCAGCGGAACAGAACGTTGGCACCATCGAGTGCTCTGTTTGAGGGAAGCATAGACATGTTCTGTTTTTCTGGGCTTGGGCTTTTGCTTTTGCAGGGCTGGGGGTGGACTCAGGGTCTGGCTAGTCAAGCACTCTACCGCCGAGCTGCGTGGACATATTGAGGGAGAGCGAGTCAGCAGTTGGACCTCAGGGAGCAGCTTGCAGGTCGCTGTTGGGAAAGCTGGCCTGCTTCCTGCAGGATTATCTATTATCAGCACTGAAGAGGGCATGAAATTGATTAGCACTGATGGAGGGTGAGCACGCAGCCGCTCCCCAGCATCACAGAGCTGCCGTGTGCCACGGGCACTGGCCCTGCCGTTCCCTGACAAACATCTGTCTCCTTGATGCCAAGGCCGTTTTGCTGGGCACTGGCAAACATTCCAAGGCCATTAGTGCTCAGCAGCCGCCGTGCTGCTCAGGAGCTGGACGGGCGGGGGAGGGAAGCCTTTGTGAGCAGGTTGCTGCCAGCCTCGGGCTCCACCTGGCCAAGGATGCCCCTGCACAGGGGTAAAGGGCTTAGAGCAGCATGGCCTCCCTCTCACCCCCGCTCCTTGAAGCACCTCTCTGAGGCACCTCTCTCTGGCCCAACTGGTTTGTCTCCTCGCCCTACCCCACCCATTCAATTTAGATGTCCTGCACCAGTTAGAACTCGGCAAAAGAATGACAACTTGAATTGAATGCTTATTTCTCAGGCATTTTGGTGACATTGACAGTAAGATCAGTAATGGAGAAATACCTACTTTATCAAGTCTGCCAACAAACAAAACCAAACCAAACCTAGCTGACAGATTCAGGCATCGATATTTGTAGTGACCCAGCCACCCACCTTCCCATAACCCTCCATTGCTCTGGACATGGTGCTGGTGTCTCTGGTTCGCAGTTGACCAAGATTCACCAGGCAGAATCTAGTCATTTGGCAAATGTTGATGAGCACCTGCTCTATGCAAGGCACTGGGCCAGGCCCGGTGGGGGGCAGGAGGCCAAAGTGCCAATAAGAGAGGGGGCCCAGGAGGGTGCTCCTGCTGAGGGCCAAGGGCCTGGGAACAGCTGGAGGCCCCAAGTAGTTTTGCAGGTGGGTCAGCAAAACTGCTGATACCAAACCTTGAAAGATGGAGACCTAGGGGTCATTTCCAGCCTGGGCAGGGACAGCCGAGGGGAGAGCATAGGTCAGAGGGGAGAGCATAGGTCAGCGTGAGAGGGAGCGCGTGCCCTCTACAGCCAGGCCTTTCCCAGGTTCTCCAGCTCCTGGCGGATAGCTTAGCTGGCCCAGCCTGTTTTCCTCCCCCGGGGGCGTTTTAGCCTCCAGGTTGGTGTACTTTGAGAGTTTGCAGGGCAGCGATGGGGAACCACGAATGCCATACACGGAAGCTGCTGCTGTCCTGGCTTCTCACCGCCCTTCCCCCTCCTGTTGGTTCAGTGTCCAGAGCCTGCCCCGCTTCTGACTGTCGGAGTGAGACGTAATTGGATAGGTGCTGGCAGGGACTTCTGGTGGAGGGAGGGGAGAGCCTCCGAGAGGCTTTTCCTTTTTAGTTCCTTGGAAAATTATACTCAGCAGGTTTATTCAGTACCGTGTTCTCACCACATACTTTGCACCATAATGACTTACAAATTGCATGCTAATTTTGCCACAGTTAAATCATTGCAGGCTTTTTTTCCTGGAAAGAAAAAGATGGACTCTGTAATGAAACAGTATCCACAGGACTTGATGTCTTAAGCAGACTTTGACCATTTCCTCGGCATTTTGAGCTCACTCAGAGATTTGTGTGAAAGGGGCTGAAGTGCGGGAGGGAATGGGGGCCGCGTGTTCCTGAAGCACCAGGTGAAGATGCAGATAGTGAAGTGTGAGGCTGCCGTCAGTTCATCTGCTAACTGTGCTACAGGCTTCCAGGGCAAGCTTTAAAAAAAAGAGAGAGAGAATCCTGCCGAGAGGTCCTCTCAGCTCTTCTTTAAACCAGAGGTTCCCAGACTCCCATCTCGTGAATTTGCCAGAACATAGCTTTCTGCCAACAGATGCAGGGGAGAGGGAGTCATGGGGTGTCTCCTCTTCTCCTCTCCCTGCTCCTCTGTCTAGGACACCTGTGGTTTCAGCCATGCACCCCTTCATCCTCTGCCATCCCCCTTTCTTCTAATCCTCGTCTCTCTGTGATTGGAAGAGAAGTCAGTTGACCTGAGTTCTGGTCCCCCACCCTGCCTCTTGCCTTGCAGTGTGGCCTTAAGCACTCCATTTGGCTTTTCTGACCTCTGTTCTCCTCAGTCTGGGGGCTATTAGCTCCCCACCCCCACCAGCCTCCCAGGCTGGTGGCAGGGTCTGCTGTGACAATGGGGGCTGTGTGACAGGCCTCCCACCTCTGCAGACAGCTGAACACCACCATGGACTTTGCTGACTCAGAGAGTTCAAACCCAGGCTTGTGGCCCTAACCCTGGATAATCTGCTCCCCTCTCCCTCACACCAGGGCCATTCAGTTTGACCAGGTCAAAAGCCTGGGTGTCAGCTGCCTGCTCCTGCCTCCCGCCACACCACCATCTGGTGAGCTCTGCCTGCAGCATCTCGGCTGCCCACCTCCTTTTCCTCCCCTTGCTGCCAGCACTGAATTGCAGGCTTCCATTATCTTTTCTTCTTGTGCTAATGCAGCATCCACACTGCACTGTGTTGACTTCGGCGGCGTGCTCTCTCTGTCTCCCTTTAAACTAGTTCCAGGTCTTCAGGAGTCCTGCCTGAAACCCTGGTGGCATCTCACCCTTGTGTGCACAGGCCATTCCGCACCCCGGTGCCTCCTGAACCTGTGCCTTCTCCACCTGCTCCCCGTTTGCCCATTACCCTTTACTCTGCCTGGAACCCTTCTCTGTGCCCACTTTTCCACATCCTTTTTCAGCAACTGGCCAGTCCCTCTGATTCCCTCAGGGTTGGGGGCGTTCAGATTAG